ACTCGTCGTCTCTCTCTCTCTCTCTCTCTCTCTCTCTCTCTCTCTCTCTCCCCCCAAATCCTGCAGTTCTTTTCCTCAACATTCCATGTTCTCATACTGTGCTCAGATGGCAAAGTATAACAGGTTCCTCTGACATAGTAATGTTACAATCTTAGAAGAAGTGGCAATAATGAAACTTGGATGGCAGTTTTGAAAAATATAATAAAAAAGCAGCATTCTAGAAGATCATGAAAACTATGGTAGCATAGTGAGGTTTCCCTATATAAAATTACAACCACAAACCCTTGTACACTTCAATTTGATATCAGAACCAAAGCAAGAAGAGAAGTTTTAGCAGCCATTCCTACAGAACACCCGAGATAAAATAAATAAATAAATAGAAAAACAACAGATCGCTATTTTAGAACTTACATGTCTTTCGGCTTGATCTCTCAGGAGCTGACTGTCACGTTCATTTTTTTCGGCCAGAGCTTTTGCCTAATAAAAGTACATTTGATGTTTAAAGGGGAAAATTTGTCTGTGGCTTTATTAAAAGCAGTACAGGCAAACAAGATAATTAATACGTTCTACAGACAGTGTGCCGCTCTAGTAAGAATGAAAAGGATGGAGTTAAAAGTTAGAGAGCATACTGCACGCTCCAATGTGCGTTGATGCCTTTCCAGCCTAGCTTTCCGTCTGTCTTCGCTTTCCCCTTCAATTTCTTGAAACTCCCCAGATTGTGGAGCAGCTTCAACAACAAAAGTGTACCCAATTAAGTCTGACTCCCCCAACAAAACATTAAAAAAAAAGAAGGAAAGATGGGCAATTTTGCAGAAGGAAGCAACCAAAAAATAGGGAAGCTAGAGCAGAAATACAGCAGTTCAATTAATCTGCTACCTCCAAATATGGTACTCAAGTCATCCACTATATTTGTAGTAGAGGATGCTTTTCTCATGCTGGCTGAGGTTCCAGTAGATGTCCTTCTTGACCCATCAGAAGTTCCTTTGTTTTGATATTGGGCATCAACGGAAGAATCCTGCAACATCCAGTCAGAATAGTACTTAATCTCAACATGCACACAAACCTCACCACAATAGATGGAGCGGAGCTTGCACTCAATTGGTTAAGGTGTAGACAATTGCAACACCAAATCCCAAGTTCAAATCCTACCACTGCAATACCAAAAAGAAAAGGAGAACATAGATAATATTATAGCAATGAGATAGATTTCCAACCGAAGAGGTAGCGGTCCTTTGTCTCGGGGCACTGTTTGGCCGAGCACCGCCGAAAAAGGCCTCAAGATCATTATCATTATTATTCTTCTGTTGTTGCTTCTCTCTTGCAGCTGCTGCCACCTTCTCTCTAGACTCTGCTGCTGCCCTCTCTCTAGCCTCTGCATATGCTCTCTCCACGGCTGCTCTATCATTTCTAAGTTTCACCTCAGCTGCAGCTCTCTCCACAGCTGCTCTCTCTGCCGCCACCTTTTCCCTCGCAGCAGCAGCAGCAGCTTTTTCAGCCTTTTCCCTTGCTTCCCTTTCTCGAGCCTCAGCTACTGCTTTCTCAGCCTTTTCCTTTGCTTCTCGAGCTGCTCTCTCACGAGCTTCAGCCAAGACCCTTTCAACCGCTGTCTTCTGAGCTCGTTCACGTGCTTCGGCAGCCGCTTTCTCGGCTGCTCTTTGGCGTGCATCTGTCATCGCTCTTTCACGCGCTTCACGGTTTGCCCTTTCGACCGCCTCCCTTTCGGCTAACCGAGCTTTCTCCTCTATTCTCTTCCTTTCTCTCTCTTTCTCTTCTCTTTCGCGTTGCTCCCTCTCGCGCTCGAGTCTTTCCTGCCTCTCCCTCTCTTCTCTCTCTTGAGCCTCTTGTGCAGCTTTCTCTTCTCTGCTTTTGGATTTTGCGTCTCTTTCTCTCTCTCTCACTTCCCTGGCTTGTTTCAATTTTGCTTCGGCCCTATCCATGGCCTCCTTCATTGCAGCTGCTGAAGCCGCTGCCGCTGAACTAGTTTCCACATCTTCTTCACTTGAGATGGCATCAGTCCGTTCATCTGCCGAAGTCCGAGGCTTACCCATGGCAAAATCTTCCAGTTCATCAATCGGTGATATGCCTGGAGTCCTCCCTGCATCAGCCACTGTTTTTGGAAAGAGACGCTGCTGGAAGGGTTGCGGAAAACTAGAATAGTCATTAACCTTTCTTGGTGCCTGCTTAATAACCAATGGAGGAGGCGGCCTTGAAGGAGGAGGAGCACTAGTAGGTTGTGTGAAAAGATGGATTTCATCAACAGTAAGCCATACATCATCAACACTCTCCGTATTCCCATCAGTCTTCGGAGATGTGTCTACCTCATGAATACCTTCATAAGAACCTGTATTTACACCTGATGAGTGGAAGCTGCTTTTTCCAGTAAAATTATGAGAATCAGGCATGCCAGTAGGCATGTCAAAGAGTGGTTGATGAGTTTCCCTGTTATTGTTTATCTGCTCTTTCTTAGGAATGTTATTCCCCAGGCTTTTAGAGGGAGGTTTCTCATTTTCAATGTCTCTATCAGAAGAGTGTTGCCCTGTTCGTAATGGGCTCTTATTTTTCTTATTACCATCGGATGAAAGTGCTGGCACAGTTCCGGGAAATCCATCAAATCCATCATCAACTGCTACCCCATTCCTTGGTGATTCCTCTTTCAAGCTTCGAGAATTTGATGGCATGCCAATGTTTCCAAGAGGATCATCTGTGAATAACCCTGAAGATGAATAGGGTGGGGGCAATGGATTTGAATCAAAAACAACAAAAGGATCGTCTACCATATTTGGGGCTGATTTACTTGAAGGAATACTTTGCTCTTGTGGACGACTGGAATTTGTAGTTGCCCTGCGAATCACATTACACAAAAAAAATGACATTCAATAGTTTCGCAAAAGAGCCTCACATTCAAAACAAAGAAATAAGCAGTGAAATTTTCATTCAGCAGATAGCAGCAAAACTATGGGGACAAGATGGTCAATATAATGCATTGAAGACTTAATTACATTAAAGCAACACTGACAGGGCGTGGAATATTCAGCAAATATGTCTGAAACCGGAAAGAAGGGATATGATGCCTTTCAGGATAGTTGGACATTGAATCCCGAATTTGTAGATTTCAAATTTGGGTGTCTAATAATCCAATGCACTCGTCATACAAAAGAACACATACATCTACATACAGACACAAATACAGAGAGAGAGAGACACACACACACAAACAGAGATCATGATGGCAGAGATATAAACCATGGGGTGGGATAATATAGGATGCATCCACTATGCAGTATCATGGGGGAAATTTTGTTAAATATGGATGCCACTCTCTTTGGATAATGGTAGTGTGATGGAACGCACTTAGTTATTCCCTATGGAGGAAACATATGACCAATCCCTAGAAGATGTAGCACTGTTGCATGTCATGCGCATCGCTAACAAACACTGTAATTACAGATGAATATATGGGGAAAATGAATTTGTGCAGTGACACTAAAAAAGAGAAAAGAAAAAAGGAAGAGATACAAGTGCAGCCAAATTCAACAAAGCTCACCAGGGAGAACTAAGATAGTAGGATACTGGTATCCCAACAGGTGGCTCCGTCACCATTCTACTATCCAGAATTCCTGACGAGTTTCTTTGGAAATTTACTGCTGTCAATGGGCCTAACCAAGACTCTCTCCGACCTCTCTTTCGGGAGGAACTCAACCAGGTTGGTCAACTTCCCCACCCTGTTTGGTGTCTAGGGGGTGATTTTAACTTCATTAGATGGTCCCATGAAAGGAACTCTTCTTCAAGGATCTCCCCAGCTATGTCAGCTTTCTCTAACTTCATTGCTTCCAACAACCTCTTAGACCTCCTAACCCAAGGCGCTTAATACACATGGTCCAACCACACTCCCAATCCCTCTCTTTCAAGACTGGATCGCTTCCTCACCTATATTGATTGGGAGACCTCATTTCCTGGAACCCATTCTTTGGCTCTGCCCAAGCCCACTTCAAACTATAGCCCTATCCTCCTTAACACCAATCCCTCACTTAGTGGCCCCAAACCTTTTAGGTTTGAATTAGCATGGTTCGAAGAACCTTCTCTTACTAACCTTTTACTGGTTTGGTGGTTGGAACTTTCTAGTTTGATTGTTGGATGGGCAGGATTCAAATTTCAACAAAAACAGCAATTACTCAAGGGGCTGCTAAAATCTTGGAGTCGGAATATCCCAGGGTTCCTCGGACCTCAGAAAACCGCTACTTTGCAGTCCATCAAGGCCCTTGACAACCTGGAAGAAACTAGGTCTCCCTCGGGCCCTAAACTTCAGGAAAGGGACAAACTTAAACTACTATTCCAATCCCTACTCAAAAAAGAGGAAATATTCTGGTACCAGAGATCTAGAATTAAGTGGTTGAATTTTGGGGATCTCAATACTGGTTTCTTTCACAGAACGGCTGATTGCAGGCGCAGGGATAACTCTATATCCCAGCTATTGGTGGAAGGTAACCTTTTAGATCGCCCCCCAGACATAGAGCAGGCCATCCTTGGCTATTTTCAAACCCTCTTCTCGGCCCCGTCAACCACTCGTCCCCAAATAAGGGGCATTGTGTTCCTTGCTCTACCACCTGAGAAGACCTCTTAGCTAGAGAGACCTTTCTCTGAACCCGAAATCTTAGCAGCTATTTCGGACCTCAACTCTGATACAGCCCCTGGAGCAGATGGCTACCAGCTCGCTCCTTTCAAGATTTTCTGGGAATCTTTTCGTGCTGATTTCCTCTCCCTCTTAGAAGAATTTCATGATAGGGGGATCATTCACCGAGCTATGAACACAAGTTTCATAACTCTGGTACACAAAATTCCCGGTGCAAATCAGCTCAAAGGCTTCAGACCTATCAATCTCGTGAACTCCACCTACAAAGTCTCAACTAAGGTGCTAGCCTCTCGCCTCAAAGAGGACCTACACTTGATCATTTCTCCCAATCAAAGCGCTTTAATCAAAGACCGACAAATTCTGGATGGTGCCCTGGTGGCTCACGAATGTATACATTCCAGACATCTGAACAAAATCCTGGCATCATAGTAAAGCTCGATTGGGAGAAAGCATATGACCATGTCGATTGGGATTTACTTGAAGAAACCCAATCTAGGATGGGGTTCGGAGTCAAATGGAGAAATTGGATGAGAGCTTGTTACTCCCACCCTTTCTTCTCTATTCTTATTAATGGTACCCCCAAAGGATACTTCCCTTCTACTAGAGAACTTCGCCAATGGGACCCCCTCTCCCCCTTCCTCTTCGCCATTTCGACAGAGGTTTTCAGTCACTCTATCGACAAGATGTATGCCGCAGAATTGTTGTGTGGCTTCTCTGTGGAACTCGGGATTCCTCCAATTTTCCACCTCCAATACGCAGACGACACCCATGTGTTCTGCAATGCCTCCCCTTCGGAAATCCAGCATCTCTTCCTCTTCCTTAGATGCTTCGAATTTGCCACCAGGTTCAAGGTAAATTACGACAAAACCACTATGATGGGGATCAATGTCGACCCTCCCACTCTCGCTTCCTTTGCTGATTCCAGGGGTTGCAGCAAGGAAACCTTACCCACAAAATACTTAGGCCTTCCCCTCTGTCTTGGAAAACCTAACAAATGCCTATGGTCCCACATTGTCGACAAAGTGGACCGCAGATTATCAGGATGGAAAGGGAGGTTTCTATCCCTAGGTGGTAGGCTCATGCTCATCAAAGCTACTTTAGCCAACATTCCAGTATACCAGATATCCTCTTTCAAATGCTTGTGGCCATCAGAAAGAGGATCGAGCAACTCATAAGAAGGTTCGTTTGGTCAGGTGTTGATTCCGACCACAAATTCCACCTGTTAGCTTGGGATAAACTTTGTCTGCCTAAAAAATGGGAGGGTTTGGGTATTAAAAATATCGGCACTCAAAATTTAGCCTTACTTGGCAAATGGTGTTGGCAATTGCTAACTCGACATCCTCAAAACCAAATATCATAACCACGATTCCCCTTGGGTACCCGAATTCAGAGCCAATAACAGATCCTCAAGTGTCTAGAGGCCTATTTGTTCTATATTTCCACTCTTCAAACCTCGCATCAAATTCCACCCCAGATCAAGAATCTGCATCCTCTTTTGGCACGATCTCTGGCTGCGCCATACTCCTTTTAAAGAAAAATGCTCTGACCTCTTTCGTCTCGCTAGAGATCAAGGGACAACAGTAGCCCAAGAAATGCTACTAGCCGGGACCTCTCGATCCTGGAACCCTGTTTTCAAGAGATCCCTTAATGACCAAGAAATGTTCAGTTTTGCCTCTCTCTCGGCAAACCTGCAAGCATGTTTCCTCGCCCACTCGGGCCCTGACCGAATCATTTGGAGCCCCTCCCCTGGTGGCTCTTTCTCGGTCTCCTCTTTCTACCACTCTCTGTCTCTACCTTCTACTTTCCCCCTCGCTCCGACCTCGATCGTGGTTTAGGCTTGGGACTCCTTAGCCCCTCCAAAGTCAAGGTTTTCATGTGGTTGGCCCTCGATTAGAGAGTTCTCACCGTTGATCAGGTACAAAGAAGAGGTTTTTGGATCCCCAATCGCTGCGTCTTGTGCTTAGTAGAAGAGGAAACTAATAACCACCTCTTCCTACATTGCTCATACGCATACAACCTATGGGGTGCTATCCTCAAGCTTTTCAAGGTGGAATGCGTACTTCCGGCTGAGGCAACTTCGATTCTTTCTTCAATTAAGCATTTCCCATGGCCCAAAGCAGGAACCTTGCTTTGGAAATCAGTGGTGTCCACAGCCTTATGGTCCTTATGGATCGAGTAAAACCACAGGATTTTTAGGGGGGTTTACTCTCCTTGGTTCAAAATCTTCAACAAGCTCAAAGCCTCCATCATTTTCTGGGCTACTAATCACCCTCAGTTCAAAGGTATTCAGCCTTTGGCGTTTCACCAAGATTGGAGCATCGTTCTTAGGCATCATTGCTCCTGCCCCACTAGGTCCTCTAGATGGAAACCTCCACCACATGGGATGCTAAACCTCAATTTTCACGATTGCTCCCTTGGTACCCCGGGACCGTCAGGAATTTGAGTCATCCTCAGAGACTACCTCGGTTCTATCATGGCCTTTGTTTCCAAACATATCGGTCACAAAGACTCGACTGAGGCTGAAGTTGAAGCTCTCCTAGAAGGCTTACTTCTCACCCAAAATTTCAACCTGCCCTCTATCATTATAGAGGGTGACTCCAGGAACACCATCACTTGGGCCCAAAATTCTGCCTCCTCCCACCTTGGTATTTGGCACAATCAGTTGATCGGATTCATTACCTTTGCAGGAATACATTCATTGTGTGGACGCCTTCTTGGAGGGAAGGAAATCACGACGCTGATTCCCTAGCAAAAGCAGCAGCGGAGATGGAAGGACTCTAGCAGATCTCTCTTTTTTGGCTTTCCTTTCTTTGCCTTTTTTGGCTTTTTTCTGCTCCGAGGATCGGCTTCTTTTCTTAAGTTGCTATTCCAAAACAGTTACTTTTCGAAAGAGGCCTTAGATGCCTTTTTTCTTTTTTCCTTCTCACCTCGAGCACCTTTTTGTGGCAAGACAAGGTTATGTACCATCTCTTCTTAAATTAAAGGTTAACACGTTCAAAAAAAAAAAAACTGAGTCTCAAAAGTTAAGAGGTTGAGTGCATTAACAAAGATGACAAACTCTCAAAAATTAAGACTATAAACAAAATAACAGTTAAGAGGTTTAGTCCATCAAGAAAGAAGATAAAAAAAAGCTATATGAAAGGATGCCACAAACTATTTGCTAGTTTTTCAAAAATTAAGGGCCAGTTTGGATGTCAAATAAAAAAAAATTGTTATCCAATAAAATAACAGTTTTTCAAATACCAATTGCAAAAAATACGAAGCCTTTTTTCTTTTCTTATAAAGTCTATTTTTCTCTCTGCGATTCTCTCCCTCAACAAGAAGGGGATAACTACGCAATTAATGCTCTCTCTCTCACACCTCTATATATCACCTTACTGCGTGCTTCCCTCTTCTCTTCTCCCCTTTAAAAAGAGATCCAAGCACCTGTTATTGTTGTTCTTCTTCTCTCATCTTCTCTGCCTTATTTGAGCTTCCTCTTCTACCTCTGTTTGGAGGTATGACAAGAGTCTACCCCTGGTTTTAGAAAAGAAAGAGAGAGAGAGGGGCGGAGTTTGGTCATTCTAGAGAGAGACAAACAAGCTTTAATCCAGCTTGCTGTGGAACTTCTGCGAGCAAACAGAAACTAGAGTAGCTGTCTCCTTCAGAGTTTCTTTGTGGCACTTGATTTTCCTTTGAAGATTTCGAATTGAAGTAGTTTATAGAGAGAGAGAGAGAGTAGATTAGGGGTTTCTGAGGTTTCACGGTGTGGATTGTTGGGTCACAAGGTGGGGTTTGCACAGGGGTGAGGGTGAGAGAGCCGCACTTTCATAAAAACAAATTCAAGTGTGACTTGAATTTCTTTTTAAGGTAACTTTTGCCTTGATGCTGCAGTATTTTTTATTTAAATCTAGTAAAATCTTGTGGTTGTCCAAATGGTTCAAATCTATTTCACAAGATTTTTGAATTGCAATCCAAAAATATTGCAATTTTGGGTACATCCAAACTAACACTAAGACTATAAAGAAAATAACAAGTAAGAGGTTTAGTCCATCAAGAAAGAAGTTAAAAAAAAGCTACATGAAAGGAAGCAACAAACTATTTGCTGATTAAAATATGAGTTATGCTTCTAAATTTCACAATATCATTAAGAATTCGTACTTATGGGGCATGTCACTGAGTGGCTATGTTGCTTCAGAAGTCAAAATCTTAGACTTCAAGTTATACTTTTTAGGGTGGCAGTTTCCACACCCTATGGAGCCCAAAAGCACATTGAATACTATGGAGCAGTTGCATTTACAATTTGCATAACTAAAAACAACTAAACTTCTCAAAATAGCAACTAAAACGTTACTTCCAGAATGAGAATCTTCTAAACTAAGATTTTCATGTTAGTTTTAGTGTTACTAATGACAATGCTCTCCCTAAAACTAAACAGATTTTGTTCCTTGATGGGCTGCAGTCTTTTGTTCCTTGATGTAGAACTTTATTTTGTCAATACAAAGTTAACCACTTCAAAAAAAAAGTCCATAAACACATAAAAGAATTCCTAAAGACATGTCTCAACCACAATAAAATTCATTTAAACATTAAGGAGAAACCAATAGAAAGGGAAACAAGGAACCTACTTTAACTCAATAAATAAAAATGAGAGGTCATGTAAACTCCATACTTCTTTTTACTAGGAGTTCTAAACTCATCAAAAGACTCAAAACATATCAATAGTAAAATAGCAGAAATCATATGCATATCTTCAAATCTTTTGCACAAAATATAACTCACAAAATCAAAATTTTAAGCATGCATTGCATTAAGGTCGATCCCATTCTAGAATTCAACGAAGCAGAAGACCACTGTCCTGCAATGTCAAATATTGATCCATGCTGGTTCATAACAGTCAACCTTCAAATATGAAGAAAATTTTTTAAGCATACACATATTCCCGCTCAATTTTTCGAAGTAATGAATAAAGTAGGATTCAGTGACTTATCAAGAGCAAATTTCTATTATTACACAAGCCCATCACAAATTTCACAGCAACCCACCCAATCACTCAGAAAATTCAACAACCCGCGAAAACATCAACTTCCATTCAAAAAAATTAGAACATATATTAAGCATCAAAACCCAAAGGCACCTGTTTTTAGCGGGATCACTGCCTCCGAATCCAGAGATCAAATCGTCAAAAGCTGAATCCTGCTTAGCCTCGCCCATTCCCATTGGTTTCGGCTCCTTCTTGTTAAATTCACCCAGCAGATCATCAAATGCAGCATTAGAGCTGGAACCCGGACCCATGGAAGCAAACACATCATCATATTCCACACCGGTGGAGCTCCTCAACCCACGAACCCCAGCCAAAATATCATCGTCATAAACAGGCTTATCATAAACCGGTATAGATGATGACTTAGACTGATCCTTAAAACCTTGAAGGAAGGGCTCCGAACCAGAAGGAGCCCTCGTTCCCATGGCACCGGAGAACTTTGGTGGGCCCCCAAAAACATCATCATAGACAGCTGAACCCGACGGATCATGACGACTCTGATTACTCGAGGGACCAAACAAATCCTCTGAATTCCAGCCCGATTTAGAGCTCCCTCGACTAATTGGTGGTGATTTCACAGAACCACCCATGTTAAAACCAGAGCTTGAGCCTTTCACAGCAGACATGGGAGGAGATTTACCTTGAGGCTTGAAGCCAAAGTCACGCTGCAAAAGGCCGGGAAAATCCTCCATCCCTCCTAGATCCAATGGTGATCGATTCAATCGATGGGATCTCGATTCTTGCCCTAGGGTTTGAGATCGAGAAACTGGGTAATTGAGGGGTCAACGAGATGCATAGGAGAGGGGAAGAAGGGGATGAAGGAGAATAGGGAGGATAAGGAGGAGGAGGAACGATTTGAGCTGCTTTAGAGAGAGGAGGATGATTTTTGTGCCCTAATTTGGAATCTTTCAGGGCCTTTTCGTTGTTGTTTTAATGGAGGGGATCGAATAGGGGCTCCCCCTTTCGATATTCAGAGAGAGAGAGTGGAGATGGGGGACATGGAAATGTAACCTGCTTATGCCCTTTTGAATCCCCATTTTGAACTTTCCCATTTTCTCTCTCTACTCTATCTCTTTCTCTCTCCTCTATTGTTTTACAGGGTCTACTTTTTTTTCTTTTTTTTACTGTAGAAAGGGAATTCACCTCTTTTAACATCGAATAGGTTTTTCTCCTTTTATATGGTGTTTGTTTGCATGGCATATAACAACTCTTTGGGGCAAATCACTAAGGAGATTTATTTTTCTTAAAATTCTAGGATCTATCAAACATTTTTTTTTAAAAAAATTAAATTTTAAGTTCTTTAAACACCTAGATCTTGCCCTTCATAAATGGAGGATTCTTGTTCAATATTATAACATTAATTTTTTTTTAAGTAGATAGAAATTCCTATTTAGTTTTTAGTGTGAGGTTGGTTATTAGGCTTTAGAAGCTACATCCATAAAACTTAGGGTCAAAAAGATATTCCTAACATGAAATTTACCCCAAGGGACAAATGCACAATATGCTCCCACCGGAGCAGCAAATCTTTTCACAGGTGTGGTGAATAAGTAGATGGGGAAATGGCCCTTTATAATATGCAACAATAGAAATATATAATTACTTAATGTGGTGAGTTTGGACTGATTAATGCCGTTACACGTAACCAACTCAAATCACGGGAACAATAAGATTTATAGGTTCCTTAAATGTAGGTTTGGAACCTACGGGAGCTTTAATTATGAAAGTAATATTATTGGTTCTACTGCAAATGGTCAATCGGACCAGTGTTATCAAGATTGGATTAGCAATCAACACAATGAGGAGTTTGATCTACTGAAAATCCATCTAACCGTCAATCGAATTGGTTAAACCAAATTTAAAAAATATAAAAATATATGTAATAATTTAAAAATATGTAATATATTAGAAAAATATCTGCACTTTGTTTGGCTAGTCGAAATTGGGCGGTCGGATTTGTCAAACGTTAGTTTGATCGAATCTAATTTTTACTTTTGACCTGACCGAACAAGGCAATGGTCTACAGTCCAAGTCGTCAGATCAGCAATCCAGTACCATCTTAATAACTATGCATTAGATAATACTGTCCATTTAAAAGTTAAAGCAGTCATTTTTTTTTTCTAACTCATTATCATCATCAAAGTGTTTTTCAATATTTGGAGTCACCATAAATCCCAAATACCTTAGTGAGGCCATAAATCCCCATATATTTTCTCACTACTTTCAACCATATCCGTTTGACCCTACTCCTTACCCTTTTTTAACCTTCCACCTTAACCAACTCGCACCTCCTAACATGTGTCATATTGGGTATATGTTGTACATGACCAATCCACGTAAGTCTACTTTATCTCATATTATCACCTATTGAAGCTACACCTAAGCTCTCCAGAATGTATTCATTTCAAAATTTATCTCTTTTTGTTTTGCCATTCATCCATCTCAACATTATCATCTCAGCTACACTCATCCTATAAATATGTTGATTTTTTATCCACTCAACATTATGCCCCATAAGAGTAAAGTTGATCTCACAACTGCCTTATAAAACTCGCCCTCCAACTTCATTGGTATACAGATATCACATAAAACTCTAGTTGTAAATCTCCACTTTGCCCACACAGCTCTAATTCTATGTGCAACATTTTCCTCGATCTCTCAATTTTCTTGGATTATTGATATAAGATATTGAAAAGCACTCTTTCTAGTATTTATTGGTTGTCAACCTTAATTATTTCCTCAACTCTAGTCCTATTATTATTAAAATTGTATTCAATATGCTACGTCTTTGTCCTATTATCAACTTTTAGATTTTAGAGCATCCCTCAAAAGTTCTAACTTTGTGTTGACGTCGTTTAGGTTTCATTAATCATTTGCCACCTAGGAATAACCTACATCATAGTACCTCATCCTTTAGATGTCTAGTTAAGTCGTCCATAACTAAGACAAATATGTATGGGCTCAACATTAACCCTTGATGTAGATCTATTGTCACGAAAAACTAACTCTTGTCTCCAGTAGTTATTTAAACACTTAGCTCTCCCTCATACATATATTTCACCAAGTTGATATAGTATCTGGAGACTCTTTTCTTTTTTATTTTTTTTTAAACTATTGCCGGTTAATTTTATCACAATGTACAATCAATAAAAATTTGAACTATATGAGAAAATTTATTTATAAAACGTAAGCAACTACATGGATAATCAACATAAAAAATAAAAAAAACTAGTCTAATTGTAGAATGATCACATAAGCTACTCATGGTTTGCTTCACGGAATACATGAATAAAACAATTTCTATGTTTCAGATGCCATTAAAAATACTAAATATGGAGAAATACCTGAGCTTTCTCATGAATTTTGGCAAATTATTTATGAAGAAAGGTACAAAGAGAGAGAGAGTCTGATAGAGAGTTTAGGAGGAGGGGGGACATGAAAATCTCAAAGTTTATCGCTGGATTTTACACTTGTAAATCAAGCGAATCTATATACACTTGAAAATCGACAGTGCATACAATATGTTATTAAATGCATTATCTTTTGGACTCAAAAATCTATTTATATACATACACATCAAGGTCGAGATGATCAATTGAGAGTTTTCCACCACCAAAATAACTTTTTTTTGGTAGGTTTTCAAGGTGTCTTACTTTTAATATATAGTATTGAAGTCTTATATGAACTTTTTCGTCCAAAAAGTGCCAAAAAGATACTACCATTTCAGTTGTGAAGCAAAAGTGCTTTATCTAGAATATTATCATTTTGCTGCAAAAATCCATATGGCATATATAAGAGGAAAAGAAAGATGAATGGATGAGATAAAGGAGATAAAAAGAGAGAAGGAAATGCTTCCTAAATAAGCTTCTTGGATTTACCTAGTATATTTGTACGAGGAAAAAGCAAAGGCAATGTTTTCCAAAAGTGGAGCCCATTGTGCGCTTCAATCCTACCAACTTCACATCTCAACTAATTTTCTCCAATTGCTTGCAGGATTTGGGCTTGAGATTCACAAGTTTGGTGTTGACATATAGAGTTATTTGGGAGAATTTATTTGATCTAAAATATTGAGATCCACTTAATAATCACTAGATAGTTATTTTTTGAATTTCAAGTTTTTCAACGCTAGGATCTTACTGTACAAAAATTGGACGGTTTTTCAAATTTGGGATGCTTTTCTAGGCACATAGAGAGTGCTATTTGTTTATTTTCTTTTATTTTTCGTGTTTTTCCAAGGTTGGTTGCTAAGTTCAAGATTACATCCCAAAATTTTGGGGTCCTAAAGGTTTTAGTCAAGGGATCAGATCAGCAATATGCTCCCATGAGAGCATGAAATTATTTCATAAAAACAAGACTACTAACCTTTACATAATAATAATAATAATAATAATAATAATAAAACCCTCATTTGCCATTCTAGTCTCAAATTAGTCTTTTCAGAATTCTAGAGAAAATTCTTTTTTCCATATTATTAGATGGGTTTTGCTAGCATAGTACATGTAGGATACAAATAGCATACTAGTTATAATCTCAAAACCTTAATGGAAAAAGTTTATATAAGGTTGCAACCTTACCTCTACAGCTATGGATGCACCCCAAAAATCCATCAAAAAAGATAGTCTTAATGTTGAAGATCATCTCGACATCGAAATGTATGACTATGAAAAATAAAAAGATTTTAAGTTTCATAAATAGTGCATTTTACAACATATTATCTACACCGTCCATTTTCAATATTTTCATATGTTTATAGATTTACTTGATTTTAACTATTTTTTAAATTTAAAACTTTATAATTAGATACAAAAATAGATTTTGAGATAATTCTAAGAACATCTTACATCAAAATTATACACCATGATAAAATTTGAATGTTCACCGTACCTCTACAGCTACGGATGCATCCATATGCCAACTGCACCCAACCTTAATGCATGTGAACTTGAGAAAAGGAAAAGTTCATCTTGACCATCCGCTTTTAAGTGTGATGATGGGATTTCCTAGTAAATGATTTGTATACTACATGTAATTTGTCATACGGACTCTTAAAATATAATCTCCTTCACGATTTAGAAATTTTCAAAATTAGAGGCGCTAGAAATCTATACTTACTCCAGGTTTGGATGCCCACATGGGTTTAATCCAACAAGGGGTAGGTGCTCCAGCCCATGAGTTGGATGAAAGTTGGCATTTTTAATTTTCATCAAATTCACGAAGTTGTCGTATATTAGCGAAATTTATACTTTGTATATTAGGGAAATTTAAATATAACTTTTGTAATTTTTAATAAATCTTTTAATTCCATAAAAGTACTTGACTTGATCCGAGTCTGAGCCACTTGGTTGAGTCACTCCCTGTCAAGTTTTAGTATGATGCAGTCTACTGCTGGTGGTAATCAAGTGTTAGAGGAGATTAAGAACACTGAAACGGTAGATACCTCACTTTCCCAGGCTTGTAGTTGTACGTAAAAATTACCAAAACGGAGTTTTTGGCTGAAGACGGAACATCTAAGCCCTCCCTCAGGGTTATAATTATAAAGTTTTGATCTTGTGGAGAGCTTTTCCTCCTCCTCCTCCTTCTTCTCCTCCCTCTTTCATTTATTTATTTTTTATTTTTTTGCATAGAAATATATTTTTAGCATTTTTTGAGAAAAAGTTTATACAAGGTTGCAACTTTATACAGTAGAAAAAAGGCACGGTTCAAAATCCATCGAGAAAGGTTTTCTGATGCTTAAAAACCCTCTAATTGATCATTTCGCCCTCAATGTGTACGGTTGTGAAAGAAAAAATAATTTAAAGTCCCAAAAATGATACATCTAATAATACATTATCTACGTCCTCTATTTTCAAGATTTTTATGTATTTGTAGATCTGATCGACCTATACCATTTTTTTAGTTTTGAATTTCATAACTAGGTATGAAGTAGTTTTCAAGTCATCATTGAAATATTCTTAACCAAAATAATATAATATCTTTCAATGAGCTTTGGAAGTGCGTATTACCTAGATTGTTTAAGGTTGA